ATACTGTCCAGCAGAAGTAACGCAGCAATTGCAACTGCTACATGAAGCCGCTACGTAGCGCTACGTAGCGCTAGCTTCGGCTAAACACACCCATTGTAGTTTCTTACGACGGTTTCAGCCGCTGGTTTTAGCCGTATTTCCACAAAAGTGGAACTCAAAGGCCGTTCTACATTAAACGCAAGTAGCAGATCTCGTGGAATTGACCAATTGCAGAGTCTAATCAGCCAACCAACGTGATTGATCAGTTCCACGAGACCTGCGACTTGAGTTTCATGGAGAACGGCCTTTGAGTTCCACTTTTGTGGAAATACGGTTAAAACTAGCGGCTGAAACCGTCGTAAGAAACTACAATGGCATGGCCGCTCTCAGGCTTCTCTCTGATGGGAACTTTCCAGCTACGTACACAGGCGACACTGTGGGTGCGTTCAGACAACTCAACAGTTGCACAACGGTTGAGAGATAATCACTTCTGATTGGATCATACTTTTGGAACCGCAGCAGATTTTGAAGAATAGTCCTATCATAAGTGATGATCTCTCAACCGTTGAGTTATCTGAACGCACCCTGTGTAACATAATGTCCATTAGTGTGAGAAAGAGCATATCAGTGTGTCTCACTCACACTAGTGGACACTGTGTTGCACAGTGTCGCCTGTGGCCCTGTTCCGTTATTACTGGCAGTACTGAACAATCTATAGGATACGTAAAGGGTCGTCTACAATGGAGAGTTGTAGGCCGTAATAGTAACAAATTGATAAATCACAATCGATTATTCTTCTGTACTTTGCCTGTGATTGGTCAATTTCTTACTATTACGGCCTACAACTCTCCATTGTAGACGGCTCTTAACGTGAACCTATAAAGGGTCGTCTACAATAGAGAGTTTTAGACCGTAACAGTAAGAAATTGACAAATCACAATCGATTATTCTTCTGTACTTTGTCTGTGATTGGTCAATTTCTTACTATTACGGCCTACAACTCTCCATTGTAGACGACCCTTAAATTTACATTACTGCCAGCGTTGCCGTGGAACTTGCCACACGTGACGTCACGCAGTAGAGAGATAGAGAGGTACGAGTCGTACCTCTCTATCTCTCTACTGCGTGACGTCACGTGTGGCAAGTTCCACGGCAACGCTGATTACTGCTAGTAATAACGGAACAGAAGGTGTGTACGTAGCTGAAAAGCTCCCAATAGATCCACTGAGCCATAAGAGCATCAAACCAAACCAACTTAATTTTTTACAAGAAAAACCAGATAAACTTCCGTAGAAGCTGCAAAACATATAGCAGTTGTCTTGAAAATGTCAAACATTACGATCTCGGCTATAAGACCACGTACCAGTATCCTCGACAAATCATTGAGCAAAGGCAAAGGAGAAATTAGCTTGAGCTGTTTTGCCCTTTTATTTTCGGAATTAGTACAATACTGTCAAAATAGAGTATATACTGTTCCTGAGTTACAAAATAAGTAAGAAAATATGTTTTTAAATTAAGATCTTTTTTTGAGTTTTACAAATTGTCTGATGTTTTCAGATTAGCAGAGATTGGAGCAGAAGTTGGACATAGGATAACAGATCTGCTTGTTGTTAGAGAAAAAAGTGGTAAACGTGAGATAAAACTACTCAATGTATTGCTGTTTATCAAAAGTACTGTGTGGAAATCTTTATTTGGCCGAGAAGCTGACAAACTAGAACATGCTAACGATGATGAACGTACTTATTATCTTATTGAAAGAGAATCTTTAGTGAACAAGTTTGTGTCAGTGCCTAAAGATAAAGGAAGTTTGAACTGTGCATCTTTTGTTGCTGGTATTATAGAGGCTATATTGTGTGATTGTGGTTTTGTAAGTCTTCTCTAATTTTCATCAATTGACTCATTATACATCACCATCAAAATAAGTTTGTTTTACTTTTGAATTCTATAATATACTATGGTTTTATAACAAGCATTGTGAAAATGTTTATATTGCAGCCTGCAAAAGTAACTGCTCACTGGCACAAAGGAACAACATATATGGTTAAATTTGATGATGCTGTTGTAGCAAGAGATAAACAACTTGAAGATCGGTAATATATATAGATATAATAAAATGGCAAACAAAGATTAATTGACACTCAAAGTATATAAGCTCCAAAGTAAACACACTAGTGTGTGATAGAAATAAATTTATATATGTGTAAAATCAATTTATATTATTCTACATATAGATTAAAAAGATTTATACAATTTTCTTTACTCTGTATTATATTATGTATTTATAAAAAGTACCAGTGTTTTTTAAACCTTATTGTAATTTGTGTATTCAAAAGAAACTGTTGATTGTTAATAATTTATTTTATTGTGAAGCTTACTCAAAGAAGCTTAATTAGATATATCAATTACTATCAAATATATCAACCTAACTTGTTCTTCTTTTTTCTCACTTGTGTACATTTAAGGACTGTTTTAACAGAATTTGCCATGTCTATCTGCATAACTAATTTGTCCAGTGCGATATAAATGCTCTTCTTTAGCCTAAAACATTTATATTATTCTACTTAATATTGAATGTTTAAATATAAATTTAGGTTTTAATGTTTTACTTACTTTGGTTGTTTTTATATTCCAATAAAGAAGGCCAATAAGTCCAAAAACAAATCCCATTCTTGTAATATAGTTTACAACTGTGGGTACAAAATTCAATTCTACTGTTGCTTTTGCTGCTGCATATCTATATATTCCAGTATCAAACTGTACAGATAAAATACATATTTGTTATATGTGTGTATAAAATTAAAAACTTGTAACAAAGATATATATATTTTAATATACAATTATTTTATTTACATTTAAATTAATACTTTAAGTAAAAATAAACAAAAATAACATTTCTATACATTACTGTTATAAGTAAATTTACTGTTATATGTAAATTTTATAAATGAGAAAGCTATTTCCCGTACTAAAACTAAATTTAAAAAAGTTTCTAAATTAAAAAGTCTTTTTGAAGTCATCTTTTGTGTAAAATGAAATAAAGTCTAACAGATAAAGAAAGATATCTTTTTTAGTTTATTTTTTAGTAAAATAAAAACTAAACAATTCCTTTCCACTATTGTGGATCATATGTAATATATCAGACTTTGAAATTGTTTTCTACAAAATCTGTATAAATTTGATATATTTTGTTCTGTTTGAGTATACTATTCTATTTGCTAAAACTTTCAAAAATCAAAATAAAAATGTTTAATAGGTATTTTAATTTGTAATACATATACACACACTATATATATGTATACATGTAATATATACAGGGTGTCCGTAAAATTTTGACCAAGCCGAAGTATGGAGATGGATTGAGTCAAACTGAATAGAAAAGTTATTTGCCATTTTGCAAAATTCGCAATAGTTAACGAGATACAAAGTAATAAATGTATGCCAATGAGCGCGGAAAAAGCGATAATTCTGACTGTGAGCATAGGTGTGTGACTGTCAGAGCAACGAGAGACGAAGTGAACAACAGAGTTGCAAGATCGAGCAGAGAGCAACGAGAGCATCAAGCGAGGGCACATATATACATATGTGCCCTGTATATACATATACATATTTGCCATGTTTTAGTCATTTATGTGTTATCTGGTTGTTATATAAGTTTTATATGAAAACTACTTGTCCATTTAAAATAGAACATATTCAACTAATTAAGCAAGAAATGACATATATTAGTAAATATTATAGTTTGTATTTTAAAGATTAAATATTATTTACTTAATATATAGTATCCCAGATAGCCAAATGTAAAAACTCAATATAAAGCAAAATGTATAGATTAAGTTGCTTGCCAATTGCTGTTATGTTGTTTTTATTTAATGCAACAAAAATGTTTTTGTCAATTCAGTATCAATATGCTTTTGTTGTCAATCAATTGTTGTAGCCAATGTTTATGACAAGTAAGTCAGCAATATGTGAGCAATGATTTTTATTCATAAGTTGAGAAAAATAATATAAGTTTATTGCCGATGAGTTGTTGGGAACTTGCTGTTATTATAATTTTGAAAACTGTTGCTGGTAAGAACATACTGAAAAGAGGATACATCCTTTTGTTACATTGCTGAAAACTTATGAGCAATATTTGTGGCAAGTTGCCAACAACTTGCACTCAGTTGGCTATCTGGGATGTTTGTTATTATGTTAATACTAATGGTTTTCCATATATCTACATATATATATATATATATATATATATATGTAATATTCATACACACCTATATATAGATGTGTATCACACATATGTAACTTAGGAAACAGAATAACATACTATGTAATATTAAAGTTAAAACTTGAAGTTGAAAATTTATATTACAAATGAGTTCTTGTTACATAAATAACTGACACCAATACATAACAATACATATTTAAACCAAAAATAACTAAAATGTTGTATATATATATTGTAGTATATCTCACTATATTTAGGTAGTAAGATATATTTATTGGATATTGCAACATATTATTATATAGTAAATTATTATAGATACGCACAAGAAGACTCTTGGTCGGATGTCCTGCATCTTTGAGATACATTTCACGTAATTGTTTCCGCTTTGCATCTTTCCACAACAAAACCTCCCGTTGTTCGGGTGTAACATCATATATCTTTCTCGAAGACATAATAATATATACTTCACTTTTCTTACAAGCTTTCTGCCTCTTCTGTAGGTAGGTTAGGGATGCGTGGTAGTGGTGGCGATGGTGCTCTTTTGCATATATGTAATCAGTGTTGCCAGAACAAAAACAATTTTGTACCAACTAACTGTTAAAAATGTACCAGATTGAGAGAAAATGTACCAAACATTTAGGGCTGCGTTCGGGGAGCACGCTATCAGCGCTATTGCGTCATTCTATCTTTGTTTTACATCTACTGAGCAATAAAGATAGAATGATGCAATAGCGCTGATAGCGCGCTCCCCGAACGCACCCTAGGACACGTTCTGTTTTATGCTTATGCGCGCATGATCTACAGTATACGTAACGTGTACTATAGATAAATGCGCGAAATATGCAAGAAACGGAATGTATCCCTGCTTTGCTTTTCCTATGCGCAGATAGAGAATATTCTTTGAACAGAGTGACACAAATACATATATAACAGAAAACGTCTCGTGTGAATTTAGAAAATATGTATTTTTAATATACCATAAAGACCATATAAAAAGAAAAAATAAAATACATTTTATACATTTTATAGAATACACATTTTATTGTAATACATACTGTGATGTATATTTATATGCATATATTTTATAAATACATTATATATAAATATAAGTATACGCAAGTTGTATTATATATCCCACACAGAACAGAACACTCTAATGGACATCTATTAGACATCTATGATGGAAATTGGAAACATCTAATGGACGTCCACGTTACCTCTAATAGATATCTATTAGATATCTAGAGTTCACTTTTTAAATATTCTATTAGAAGTTTAATAGATGTATTCTATAGATNTTTTGTGGAGATGCAGTAGACATTTTATAGAGATTTTTGAAATGATTATTGGATGAAGGTTTTAAATTATATATATTATACATATAATTTACATTGTTTAGATATAATTTATTTTATTTATTAATATATAAAAGTAAATACTATATAAAATAATCTTATATAAGTGTGTTTGATGTGTATGTGTATATAAATTTTATATAGATAAATAGATACTTTTATTGGTCCGTTCTGGGTTACAATTTTCACAACGATCCTCAAAAACTACCTTACATCTATATATAATTTTATATACAGATACATACTGTTACATAATATGTACCATAATATGTGTAACAGTATATATATATATATATATATACAATTATATATAGGTGTAAGGTTGTTTTTAAGGATCGTTGTGAAAATTGTGTAACCCAGAACGAATCAATAAAAGTATCTATCTATCTATATAACACTTATATACACATAAAACACTAGTATGTACTGTTACATATTATGTATTGATATATA